GTCTGGTATCAAATTATAGTCCAGTGTGCCAGCTGAAGAGCAGACAGAAGGAGCCTCTGCTGCGGCAGCTCTAGCACCCTACAAGCACGGGGAGACTGTTGTTGGATCACATGGTGGGCTAAGAGCAGCAGGAAGGTTCCGTGGTACCTCAGACTGTGGTACTCAGAATGTGGTATGCAGGAATTGTGCTGGGAGAGCTGAGACAAAACCTGTAGGTCCAGACCCGCCCATGCTGAGAGCTTGGGGGTAGCCCAGGTTATCCCAGGTTTACAGAGACAGGAACCAAGGAGCCACAGCTGTCAGAACACAGGTTGAGGCCTGTCCTGGGAACATTTAGCATTTGAGAAATATCTACCACCAAAACATTGTCAGCAGCTGCAAGTTCTCACAGTGTAAAAGGTTAATTTTATGTTAAATACATTTCACCAAGAAATAAGGGCATTTAAGTAGGTCTAAAGTCACAATAAGGCTTAAAAAAGTCAAAGAGACCAAACCCGTGTGTGCAAAGTTCTTGGGGATTGGGAAAGAGAACCCAGAGCAGGGTTGGGGGTGGGGTGTCGCTTCCCCAACTGTAGGAAAGGAGACCAAGAGCTGAAGATATTCCCCAGAGGTGGAACCAGGATCTGACCCCTGATGGGTTACAGTGTAATATCTCTTCCCACTCGGAGCTCCACCCTCAGCATTCCCTTTGGCTGTGTGGCCTGAGGCATGGGCCACCTAGGTCCTACCATCAAACTATAAACAGGAAATCAAATAGGAATTCTCAGAAGGGCACGTGCTCAGAATACAAGTCTCTTTAGCTGCTTGAACACACAGCTGTTCCACAATTCCAAGAAGAAAAACAAACAAACAAAAAACCCCACCTATTTGGGGGTCAAAATCAGTAAAAGATCAAAAGGATTTAGCCTTTTTAGTATCACAGATCTCAAAGATTGACAGAGAAAATGAACCTCAAAATTTGACATAACAACTTCACTAGAGATGTGGAATCTGCTAGGGTTGGGTGAGTCCATAACAACCTGAAGATATGAACTGTGGACTTCAGCACTCAGCAGAGAGTGTGGGGGGAGGCGGTACGGCTGCTCTCAGCAGTAAGAAAGTACAAGACCTTTGTACTCTCTCTGCTATGCTTGGATGTTCCAAACTCCCCAGGGCTGGCTATGTGGGACTTCTGTTCTCCCCAGTGCACACTTGACTCCAGAGCATTAGAAACAAAGACCAGGAAGAATTTATCAGCTCCCATGAGGCAGGAAGCCAGTCAAGCTAGCTTCTTCCAGATGGATGCTGTCCCAATCCTGGATGGAGTTTGTCTGGAAGCTTCCACTCTAGGAACTGAGACCAAGGGCCAGACTGAAGGGACTAAGACAGGACAAGCACTAAAGCCACAGCCCACACCACTGTGAATGTTCTCTACTCCACTGAACTCCAAAGACACAGACGGGCTGGCAAACCCCAGAACCTCTGTGTGAGTTGTCCCAATCTACCCAGACTCACTTCGGTCAATTCCTCACCAGATGATGCTTCAGAAAAGAAAGCTGGTTGGTTGCATAGAAGAGATATGTGTCCCCAAGCTAGTAATACACAGCAGAGACTCAACTAGAGCTACATCTTGCCAAAAGATCACCTTAATCTGGTACTGCCTCTACCTAGTTCACTGTGGGTGTGGTACTGTTCTGGATGCTGATCCTTGATCCATCTCAATTTTCATCTTTGTTGCCAAGAAAGGTTATGTAAGAATGTTATGTAGTCCGCCTTCTCAATTTCCAGCAGCCATTGGAAAGCAGGCAGTGTGTGCCGTAACACACACACACACACACACACACACACCATTGCAATGCTCTGTAAGGCCCCACTGCACTAGACTTGTGTTTGGAGACGCAGCCTCTGCTTGTCATTCTAACACCACGCGCGAGAGGAAGGGCCCTCCTAGTGCAGGCCTTCCCACCATTCTTACTGTGGACACTGCTGTCAGTTTGAACTTGGAACAGGGTGGTCGCATGGTGAGAGTGAGGAAGGGATGCTAGGGCTCACGGTGGGATGCTAGGGCTCACGGTGGGACGCTAGGGCTCACGGTGGGACGCTAGGGCTCACGGTGGGACGCTAGGGCTTATGATGGGATGCTAGGGCTCACGGTGGGACGCTAGGGCTCACGCTGGGACGCTAGGGCTCACGGTGGGACGCTAGGGCTTATGATGGGATGCTAGGGCTCACGGTGGGATGCTAGGGCTCACGCTGGGACGCTAGGGCTCACGGTGGGATGCTTAGTGCAGACCAGAAGGAGAGACAGAGGCCTCTGTTGCCTCTATCTCAGGACCTGTCTGAGCATCATAATCTACCAGGAAGGTATCTGTGGAAGTCGGGATAAAATTAGAATTCTATTAACTGTCCATCCCACAATCAGCTGAACAGGATAGGAAGGGAACAGAACCCTCAAAACACAAACTCTGGAGCCTTATCATCCTTGAAATTTTACTTTATAAAGAAATATATGATTTTATGAGTGTGGGTGCTTTGCCTGTATGTGTGCCTATGTGCCATGTGAATAAAGCCCCCACGGCGGTCGAAGGAGCCAGCATCTTAACCACGGAGCCATCTCTGCCGCCCTCCTCACCTACTTTATACAGTCTCTGTCTCCACTGTAAGCCTCTGGGTCTTCTGCACATCCCCATGGTATCTCCACTGTTACCCTCATGGTGACTAGAGCCCACCTGTTGGGGACTGTGGACCCCCAGACTCTGAATTTCCTGTGACTCTTTGCCTGCCAGAGTAAACAGCTTGTTTTCCTATGCTTGCAGCTGCTCTGAGCAAACAACTTGTTTTGCAGCTGCTCTGAGCACAAGACCCTGAGGAGTTCCTGATGGCAGGGGAGTGGTTTCTGGTGGGATTACAGCTGAGAGTAGGGTGTGGATATTAGTCAAGGAGACCCTATATAAGCTGCTTTGGAACACAATAATAGGGCATTCTTGGCGTTACCCGTGTCTCTCTCTGTGTGTTTCAATCTCCAGGTCCTTGCCCGGCTCTCGAACAGTACTGTGGCACTTAGAGTAGGTGATGTGCACCCATGACTCACCCCCAGTCCTGCATACACAGAGGTCCTTCATCCCTATCAGGGTGTTTGTATCCTTTAATGCATTGTATTCTCTCATTCTTTTGGGGTTCCAGTATATCTTACATCTACATCTCTATGTAGGTTTCCTGAGTTCCCAGGGGTCCTTTATCTCTTGGGGTGCTTAGGTTATTGGACAAGTAGTGGTCCATACTCTGTTTCAGGTACGAACCTTGAATTATGATGGTAGGTCTCTGGGGGCCTTGGTGGTACCACCCCTTCTGCATTGGGCTGCTTTGGTCCTTGTCCTCCCTGAGGAACTCCATCCTTGTGGAGTATGTATGCTCTTGCCACCATAAACATCCCTGAGAGTCACTAGTAATCCCATTACTAGAAGTCATCAGTATCTTTGGAGTACCAGCTACCTGAGATTGCAATGGCTTGAATCTCCATCAACCTGGTGTCCCTGGGACTGAACCTTTTTAAGATGACAAGGAACTGGCTCTTAATGGCAGATCCACACTTCCTATCCTCAGAAAATACAAGTGAACTTGAACTGAGCAGCTGAATCAGAGGGAAACTAGGAGGCTACAGCCTTGTGTCAGGAGAGCATTGGTAGAAGAAGGTTCACCCTGCACTCAGAACAGCAGAAAAGTCCATAGTCCAACACACCTTCAAGTCACCTGGGAGTTAGACTACTGGGTTTTGAGAAACCCACAGTGAGCACAGAGCACATAGATGGAAGGGAAAGCACACAAGCTCCTGTCCTTCAGCCTGACCTCGTTTTATGGTTTTTTTTTTCCCTAATAAACCTTAATTTCCTTTAAGACAAAACAAAAAATCATCAAATGTGATTGGTTTGAATGAGAATAGCCCCCAGTTGTTGGAACTTTTTAACTCGCACATTAAATATCTGAAATCCTTACTTGTACAGCACCTCTATACAGTCTACATTTGAAACTGCTGTGTGTCAGCAGGGGTGGGGATGGTGTGTGATGCTTCACCTGGGAGCAATCCCTAGAGTTCATGCAAATATCCTTCTTCCAGATCTACCACTGTTGAGAGAAGATTCTGTCCCATCCAGTCCCACAGCCACTCAGTCCCCAAAAAACACACAGAGGCCTACATTAATTATAAACTGGTTGGCCTAGTAGCTCAGACTTTTCATTAACAAACTCTTACGTCTTACATTAACCCATAATTCCTGTCTGTGTTAGCCATGGGCTTGGTACCTTTCATCAGTGAGGTATGCTCATCTCGCTTCCTCTTGGTCTGGGTGATGACTGTAGACTGAGCCTTTCCTCTTCCCAGAATTCTCCTATTCTTGTCACCCCACCTATATTCCTGCCTGGCTGATGGCCAACCAGCATTTTATTAAACCAATACAAGTGAGAAATCTTTACAGGGAACAAGATCATTGTCTCACAGCATCCCACCCTGATGTCCCTAAAAAGATGGATGATTGAGTGAGAGCCTGTTGGTAAGAAAGGGACAGAAGTCAGTGAGGACCACCCAGACCCTTTGTCAAGGAGCAGGCAGAGCTTGGAGGGAGACACTCCGTAATGAGGCTCTTGTTCCCGAGCCCTTAGACCTGGATTCTTGCTTGTGACAAGTGAGGTCAAAATGAGTGGTTCAGTTTCTAGTTCCTCCTAGGAGGAACATGTAGAGACCAAGGTGGCATCAGTGAGGACAAGTGAGACAGGACAAAGGTTATAGGTTGAAAGGGACAAGGAGATGGGTGGCAGCTTACCATGAGGGTAAGGAAGCCTGAGTCATCCTAGATTCCCCTTTCCCTTCCAGGTTAATTCAGTGGGAATCACAAAATTAGCTGGACTTTGGCCCCTGCCTTGTAATAACCCAGCTTCTTCACCCTGGGTTTATGATTATCAAACATGCAGGTGCCAGCCAATGAGACTTCTACCCAAGTGAGTCCACGGGTAGTTACACTGTCCCATGGTTCTCCTAACAGCAGTGTCTTGGGCTTGAGACAAGATCAAGCATCCTGGGTGAGAGATGGTATAACATGAAGAAATCAGGAAGAGAGATAGCAGACTTCCATAAGGGTAAGGACCATCCCAGGGCTTGCTTCTCTGTGCTAAAGCTGTGGAGAAATACACAGTGAAGGGGCCAGGCTCTCTCCTCTGTCCCATTCCAGCTTTTGGACCTCTGGTTTATGATTATCCAAGAGCCTGCCAATAGGGCACCAGCCCAGCTCTGTTCCCCAGAGTGGGACAGACCCTGGTGGGTTCCGGATGTCATCCTGGACACTCTGATGTGGAGGCAGCTAAGAGGACAGAGAGACAAAGTTGGTGTCTCTCACTCTAAGGCCCATATCCTTCTTGGGTGTTCAAGAGTCACGAGCTTTGGGGCTTGACCTTTGCTATTTTGTGGATTAGATATTTCTAAGGAAATACTTGCTGACAACTGCCATTGGGAACATGGGATTCTGAAACCATAAATCCTGAAGAGAAAACACAGTTGGTGACACCCCATCTTCCTTCCATGGGGAACCATCTCAATGTACTAAAGACTGGAGAAGTGGAAAGGAGACCGCAATTGCCTGTGCTGTATCAAGCTTGCTGTCCTCAAAATTACCCTAGATACCAGGTGTTGCTTTACACTGATCCATAGATGAGTGTACACAGCCTCAGAGAGGTTGGCATGCCTAGGTTCACATGACTTGGCACTGGAAGGGTCAGGGGTGCAATGATCTGGAAACTAATGCTATCTCCCACTGTTGGTGTTCTGTTTCCTCCTCGGTGGCAGTGGCAATGTGCACCTGTGAGTCTGGAGGCTGGGATCTGGGTGGTGAGTGGAGGTTGGGGAAACTCACGAGGCTCTCTCTGACTCCTATAGGGCTGTAAGGAAGCAGTGCAACCAGACCGGGATATGTCTTGTGGATGCTGAGATTTGAGACGAAATTCTCCAATGGCTTCTTTTCACATCCGCCAGTTCCAGGAGAGAGACTACGAAAAAGTCGTGGATTTGTTCTCCAGGGGCTTGAAGGAGCACATCCCTGCCTCCTTCCGCCACCTGCTGACACTGCCCAGAACCCTCCTGGTCTTAGTTGGGGTGCCTCTTGCCATAGTCCTGCTGTCTGACTCCTGGCTCCTGGCTGTTATATGCATCTTCTTCATGCTTCTGTTCTTTTGGTTCCTTGTCAGTCATGCCTGGAACAAGTATGTGTCCAACAGTTTGCACACAGACATGGCTGACATCCCCAAGTTCTACATGAATGCACGTGGTTCCTGCTTCTGGGTGGCTGAGTCTGGGGGAGAGGTGGTGGGCATCGTGGGTGGTCTACCAGTCAAGGATCCCCCATTAGGGAGGAAGCAGCTGGAGCTCTTTCGCCTGTCTGTGTCCTCACAGCATCGTGGACAGGGGATAGCAAAAGCACTGGTCAGAACTGTCCTCCAGTTTGCACGGGACCAGGGCTACAGTGATGTTGTCCTTGGAACAGGTGCCATCCAGCAAGGTGCTGTGACCCTTTACTACAGCATGGGCTTCCAGAAGACACGTGAATATTTTATGGATACACTCCTGTGGCTCCTGGATCTCTCTGTAATTTGTTTCACATACTCATTCCCTTCTGTTCCCGAACATGAGCTGTGACCTTCTTCCTCTGTGTGTCTGTCAGTCCAGCTCACTGTGCTGTGGAAAAAACAGCCCTGATACTGCAGTGGACAAATCACAAAATTCCTTTGTCATTTTCATTGTATTCCTCTCTGTTTGCTGTGGATAAAGAACTAAGGCAAGGAAGTGTTCTATTTCCTTTGTGCTCTATTTTCCTTCCTAGAGAAGGGCTGTGGTGGCCAGTGATTCAGTTGGGTAACTTACGTGGCCTGACTAGCCTGTGTAGTCGCCACTGGCACTGGCTAGCTTCAATCTATGGACCGCGTGAGTCTCTGCAGGCCATGTGTGGAGTGTTTTTGTGGATCCAGAAAGAGGCAGTGTGGTTGGAGAGCAATTTCACTCCTACCACTTCTTGCAACTTAGCTGTACCCATTATGCATGGCAAGAACTGGGGGCTAAAGAAACAGGTGCCACAGGCCTGATCTTTCCTTCACACAAGTCTCCAGCACACTGGCAAATAGAATGTGTTTCCATCCGGATTCCGTGTCTTTCATCTCTACCACCCTAACTGTCTGGAGTCCCTAGTTGCGTTTCCCCAGCTCCGAGAGTCCTGCTGGACACAGTTGTCCAGGTTTCCCTCATACAATCACTTGTGACATTCAGGAAGATCCAGGGCTACTGTTCATCCTGTCATTTCATTCCAAGGGATTTGACAGGTGATTGTCATCCTGCCAACTGGCCCTTGTCACAGGCCCATTCATAGCCACATGGAGTGGTTCCAATCCCAAGTCATTTATCATCTGTGACTGTGGCCCCCTACTCTGGGCCGGCCGTACAGTGCTCTGCCTTTCCCTGCCTACAACAACCCCACAGTTCCTCTTGAGGTCCATCTCCCTCTGGCCAGCCTCCCTAGGCTCCTCTGACAACTCAGCCATCCACATCTGCTCCCGAGTCATTCCACCCAGGCCACTGCCCAAACCAAGGAACTTGTTGACGCTTCTAGTCTAGATCAGCTTCACAGGCAACCGTGGGCCTCTCCAGATAGCCCTGTGTTGGGGATGCTTAGGACTTGCTCCCCCAAGTGTCTCCTGCTTTCCTCATGCAGTGAGACCAGGTTTTGCACAAGCAGCTCCAAAATCATGGAAAGATGGGCCTAGAGAGATTGGCTATGTGGTTAAGAGCACTGGCTGTTCCTGCAGAAGCCCTGGGTTCAATTCCCAGTACGGACACAGTGGATTACCACCATTAACTCCAGTTCAGGGCATCTGGTGCTCTCTCCTCCATGGGCATCAGGCATGGTCTAATGGTCCCTATTCTTTGAAACACATACCCAATAGCAAGGGAGAACTCTTAAACATTTAGGATGCACATGGGCCCCGGATAGTGGGGACCAAAGGGCAGCTATGGGAAGGTCAGCAAGGCGTAAACTTCCATAGTGAGATGATGGAGAGACTTGAATACTGGAGGACAGCTCTTGCAGTTCCAGCCAGGATCAGGGCACCGCTGCTGATGTGAAGCTTCCTGTGCACACATGTAGTGACATCTTTCACCATAGCTATTGGAACATGATAGCTGAAAGAAACGATTCCTTCCATGCTATCCGATGAGCCAATGCACTCACTGGCTTTGCTTCTAACACCATGGGTGCTTGGGCAGCTGCATACTCAAAACCAACACTGACAAGGACAATGACTGGTGGGCATGTTTCCCTGGGAATGTCTTGCACAACTAGCAGGCTACAGAGTTCCCAAGAGTCCATCACCTTGGCAATTGTGAACATTAGAGATGGCCTTGTGAACCTTCAAGCTCTCTTAGGAGTCCATGAGCCTCCTCTTTTCTTCCACACGGAAATGCTTCGGTCTGGAAGAGATAGCTCCACCACACTCCTCACCTGCTTCCGGTGCTTAAGCTTCTTCCTCAGTGTCCCCCAGGCCATGGATGGAATGATATCAGTTCTAACACTCAAGCCCACAGCACTGGATGCTTATTTTCCACAGTTTAACCAGGCAGGAATCCCCGTAGAACTGCTGCCCATCGTGAAAAAGACATGTCTACTGTTCTGGTGAGCAGTCGCCGTCTATGGGTGCAAACACAAATGTTCAGAAGGCAGTTTGTCGGGCACGTGACACCCATTTGAGAAAACAGTACTAAGAGCTGCTTCCCCATAGGTGTTTGACCACTTACAGCACCAAACACAAGTTTCTCCTCTGTGGCAGGCCTTCAGTCTGACCAGAGAGGTATTGTGTGTGACAATCCGGCTCTGTTTGTAACACTTCTTCCTTCAGCGGCGCAGATAGCCCTTTCCAGCTCTGTCAGTGCCTACCGCTTGAGAGGGAATTCAACGCACAGCAGTGTATTTCCCGTGCAGCCAGCAGCCGTGGCCACACACTGAGGACACAGGTGCTTCCCTGGCACCTATGAGGAGGCAAACCACATCTCACAATGAGGCTTTGACCCAACAGCCTTATGACTCCTGGGAATCATGTTTTATACCCATATAGGTACCTTCTTTCACGTTCTTACATTTTTGAGACAGGATCTCACTTTGTACTCCAGACTAGCCTAGAAATCACTATGTATACCAGGCTGGCTCAAACTTGCAGTGATCTTCCTGCCTCTGCCTCTAGGTTCTGGGATATTAGACACGTTACCATGTTCCTAGGTTCAAATTATTGAACTTCTGTTTTTATAGTTTTCCTAGATGCTGTTACAGATCTGTAAGACGGTCTCATGATCACATTATATAATGAAACCTTCTACCTAAGGAAAAACAGTTTCAGTTGGTCTTGGGATTTAGCAGTTAATGAGATAGCAAAAAAATGTTAATGGGTTCGAATACAGTATGACCTTTCTTCCCATTGTTTTTATTACGTGTTTCCTCATGAGCAATATTGGGAACAGTGTCATGGATGAGGGCTACCGTGTTGTTTGTTATTTAACCTTCTCCCACCCACCGTCATTCTCCAAGTGCATATGGCTTTCTTACCATGGCGCACTGACTCAGGGATGCCTTGTATCTCTACCCCACTGAGCCTGGAATGAAGGGCTCAAACTGTGTGGCTTTGTCCAGAACCAAGAAGGAAGCCTGCTCTCATGCCTGTCTTGCCCTCTGCTTGAGCAGTCTTCCCAGATGTGACAGGATCCAAGCTGGCTCCGCTGCCACAGTTTCCCCACTGGCTGCACCTGGGTTTTAAAGGGGCCCTTGAGTTCCAGGAATGACCTGCACACCGGGTATGTTCTCTTGACAGGAAGGAACGCTCACAGTCAGGGACAGCTATCCATTGCTGGGGCTAGCTGGCTCCTTTTCACCTCCACAGCTCTGTTTCTGTATCTACACACTGCTTCTGTTGCCTTGGTGATTTGGGGAGTTCCCATGAGCCAACACACACTGACCCAGCATCCACCAATGTCCATCCGCTCTGCCATCAGTGAGGGCACAACAAACCTGCAGTTCAACACAGGACCTCCAGTTGCCCTGCACAGCCCTCACCTGCAAGCAGCCTTGGCCACCTTATCCAGGGAGCTGTCGACATCTTTTCTGCAGCAGCAGGTGTCATGGGGATCACCACCATCCCCCTGTCTTCACCCCTTCTCTTGAGCAGACATTCCAGGCAGAAAGTCATCAGAAGCTCCCAAGCGTATCTACTTTGGCCATCTGTCATGGAAATTATTTCTCAACTCAAGTCCTGTCACGTTTGTCTTCAAGTGAACAAGCCTTTAAAAACAAACCTGGTTTCCCTTTCTCTCAAACTCAGCACCATTCACAGGCTAGTCCAGTCAGTCAGATCCATCAACGTTCCCACTTGTAATGCTCATGCCCCACACTGGGCACGGCAAAGTTACTCAGGCCTCCAATGGTTAGAATCTAAATAGAATGGAGCCCTTAACTTTCTTACTTAACTCTCTGGTGCACACAGCCCCATCTGCTCAGAGGACTGGGCTTTTAATATCACGATCACCATCAGTTCCTTTATAATCATTTCTACCAGTCTTTCCAGCCAGAGGTGGACAGCATATGTGCCTGTCCCAAATGTGCTCCCTTTGGGGGCGGAAGTACATTTTCAGGAACATTGATGGGGGGGATGTTTAAAACAAGAGTGGACACAAACTTCTGTCACAAAGCAAATAACAACATGGGTACATTTTTTCTCAAAAGTTCCATGTTCAGAAACATGGGTAGGTGTCCAAGATGTTATGTGGAGAAGCTGCAAGGAGAGCCAGAGTCAGTCTCCTCTTGTACTGTGTTCTCTGAGGCCAGGTCCACATACTCCAACAGTTAAGGCTAGTTCAGATCTTCCAAGAGTGTGCAGAGGAGAGGCTGTGCTATGGGGAACCTGCATTCATGTGTGCACAGAGATACTGTGTTAAAGTCACACTGATGTGAGATTTCCCTCTGTGTGCTGTGATTTCCATTAATGAATAAAGAAAACTGGCTTGTACTGATAGTATAGAACAGAGCTAGGAGGGAAAAATTAAAAGGAATGCTGGGAGGAAGAAGGGGGAGTGAGGAGGAGCCATGGAGCCACCACCAGAGACAGACATGCCAAAACATTGCCAGTAAGCCACTGCCATGTGGCAATACACAGATTAATGGAGATGGGTTAAATTAATTTGTAAGAGTTAGCCAATAAGAAGCTAGAGCTAATGGACCAAGCAGTGATTTAATTAATAAAGTTTTGTGTGATTATTTTGAGTCTGAGCTGCCAGGCAGCAGTGAAACAAACAAGAGACCTCAAATCATGTCACACCACGTGTTTAGAGCAGTAGGAAGGTTCTTTGGTACCCCAGACTGCCATAATTCCATGTGGTTGGTAGAAATTGTGCCAGGAGAGTTGAGGCAAAACCTGGAGATCCAGACCAGAGCATGCTGAGAGCTTGGGGCAGACCAGGTTAGGCCAGGTTTACAGACTCGGAAACCAAGGAGCCACAGCTGCCAGTAAACATGTAGAGAGCTGTCTGAAGAACGTTTAGGATTTGAGAAGCACCTGCTACCAAAATATTGTCAGCAGGCCAAATGCTGCAAAGTTTCGCAGTGTAAAAGGGCAATTTCACATTAAACAGATTTCATCAGGAAATAAGAAAAGCATTTAGAGTACTCTAAAATCACAATAAGACCTAAAAAGCTTACCAAAGAGGCCAAACTTGTGTCTGTAACAGTTTTGGGATTAGGAGACACTGTCAAAATTCAGGTGAGGTGCCAACCATGGAGATTGGTGAAGCAGGAGTAGAGGAACGTAGATTACTGCAACCTACTGACCAACCAAACTAGCCAAGTTCACCTCTTCAAGTTCATAGAGATATCCTATCTCAGAATTAAAACCGGGACTAATCAGGGAGTGATATCTGTCATCTATCTGGGGTCTAACCAAACATACACATGTTGTATGTTGTAAGTCCATGAATATGAGTATACACCACATACATCCATAAAAACACACACTTGCAAAGATAATCCTAGGGGAGGGGCCACTATGTAGGTCTTCTCTACCTTCCCTAGTGGGGCCACACTGGATTCCAGGGCCTCGTGTTCCA